TGTGTGTGTGTGTGTGTGTGTGTGTGTGTGTGTGTGTGTGTGTGTGTGTGGACACCTGCATGCCACAGTGCAGTGCAGAAGGTCAAAGGGCAGCTTCCAGGAGTCAGTTCTCACCTCCAGCCTCTTGAGAGGGGCTCTCCGTTATTACATTGTGCAGCCTACTCCAGGATAGCTGACTCTCCAGCTCCTGGCGATTCTGTCTCCTTCTCCCATCTTCTAGGCTACAGATGCTGGGGTTACAGATGAGCATTAGGGTGCAGGCGCTGGGGTCACAGGTGAGCATCACTGCATCCAGCTCTTTTTGGTTTGGGTGGGGTTGTTTGTTTTGTTTTTCTAGTTTTTTTTTTTTTTTTTTTTTTAGACAGGATCTCATGAGGTTATAGCCAAGGTAGCCTTGGCTCAACTGGTATTTGCTATGTAGACCAGGCTGGCCTCAATCACAGAGATCTACCTGTCTGTCTTTCCCAAGTGCTGGGATTAAAGGTATGGGCCATCGCACCCAGCACATCTAGCTTTGTACGTGGCTTCTGGGACTTAAATTCAGGTTGTCAGTCTTGCACAACCCAAAGCATCTGGGCCCTTTGTCATCCTGCCTGGATCAGGTTGTAGCTTCCCATCGGCTTTAATCACAGGACATAGTAACACCAAGAGATGCCCAAAGGAGCTCCTGAGCAGCAGGACCACAGCCTGTAAGCTACTCTAGCAATCCCCCCTTTATATGTGTATTAATTCATTCTATCAGTTCTGTTCCTCTAGAAGACCCTGGCTAATATATACAAGTAGTGCTTTTACCTGATGAGCCATCTCCCTGGCCTTTCTTTTCTTTTCTTTCTTTCTTTTTTTTTTTTAAGATTTATTTATTATTTATACAACATTCTGCCTGCACACCAGATCTTACTATAGATGGTTATGAGCCACCATGTGGTTGCTGGGAATTGAACTCAGGACCTTTGGAAGAATAGCCAGTGTCCTTAACCTCTGAGCCATCTCTCCAGCCCCCTTTTCTTTCTTCTTTCTTTCTTTCTTTCTTTCTTCCTTTCTTTCTAGTGCTAGGTCAAACCTTGTACATGCTAGGTAACTGCTCAGCCACTGAGCTATATCTCCGGCATTTATGAAATGTAAAATTTAAAATACTTGGAACCGAGATGGATCTAAAACACCTGGCATTCAGGGAGAACAATCCAGCCAGGGAGGCACAACGCTGACACTTACAGAGAAAGAGAAGGCTGAAGTGACGAGGAAACTTCCAACCTAAGAACTTAGGAGGTGAACAAATAGAGCAAGCCCAAAGAAAGCTTGGGGCTGGGGGCACGACAGTAAAAGACAGAAATCAGGGCTGGAGAGGTGGCTCGGCAGTTAAGAGCCCATGCTGCAATTATCCACTTCTGGTAATTTACAGTGCCTATGACCAGCCTCCACAGGTAGCTACACATGCACACACGCACGCACACGCACAGACATACACACACACACACACACACACACACGAATACAGGCACGCGACAGTCTCTCTTGTGCACATGTGAGTGTTCAAGTAAAAAAAAAAAAAAGCAGAAATCAGGGAAAGATAATTCAAGGATGCTTTAGGAAATATTAAAAAAAAAAAAAAAAACCTGAAAGACGAACTGAGTGGCCACTGGAAAGACTGACTGACAGCGAGAGAGACGATCCAAAGGGACCAAGGGCAGCTCAGCCTCGAAGGAGAGCTGTGAAAGCCAGAAGGACCCTGACATGAACAAGCGGAGACCCGGAATTTGAAAGCATGGGTGAAATGGGCAGACTCCTGCCATTGCTGACTCAAGTAGGAATCATCAGGAGACCAAACAGTCCCGTGACCGTTAATAACCCTGAGGGATAAAACACTTCCCTCAAAGAAATAATAGGAAGAGACCGCAAATTGAGAAATAGGAAAACGATACTTGCTTTAAATGTATACACACACACACACACACACACACACACACACACACACATACATATGTGCTGTGTATGTGTGTCTGTGCACATGGGAACCAGAGGTGCTCCATCCTCGGAAAGTCGAGCTGTAGTTGTTAGCTGCTTGATGCAGGTGCTGCAGACCGAGCTCTTGGGTCCTCTACAGAGGTAGGCTCCTCTCTTAACCACTGAGCTATCTCTCAAGCACTACCCCTCACCCCATTTTGAACCGTGGCCTTACTCTGCAGCCTAAAATGACCTCAGGTTCACGGCAGTCACCTTGCCTCCAGAGTGCTGGGATTATGTGTGTGAGCCACCACGCCCAGCTGAGGGTACTTGTTTAATAAAGAACTGGGTTCTTGGGGTTGAGGAAGTGTCCCTATTGGCACTTGAGGCCCTGAGCTCCGTTCCCAGAGCTGCATGGACCCTGCACGGTTGTGCATACCTGTAATCCCAGCACCAATAAGTGAGGTCACCAGGACTGAAAGTAAGAGCATCCTTAGCTACATTAGGAGAATAGGGACAGCCTGGGCTACACGAGACCTGTTCAAAAAACAGCCAAACAAAAACAAAATTCACTTCCTGGAGCCAGGGACTAGACACCGTGGTTCTGACTGTAATCTTAGTGCCTGGGAGGCTGCCGCAGGAGGATCACCAAGAGCTTGAGATCAGCCTAGGCTACATGAGACCCCTTCTCAAAACAAAACAAACAAACCACCAGAAGAAAGAGCAACCAAGTGAGTGAGTGCGGGAGCACTGTTCGTATTACCTCCAACCCGGATAAAAACGTGAACCAGTGGATAAGCTACCGTCCACAGTACTTAACATACACAACACATAGCTGCATACAGTGCAATCTCATGCAAAGATTACAAAGTACAGACTCCATCCTTCCATCCCCCTGAAATTAAAATCAGTTGTGCTGTGGGGATTAATTAAGTGGTAAATTTTCAAACAAAGGCAACTTGGGGAATGCCATCAAAACCAAGACACTGGTTTCCTGCTGTAACAGGGAGTGGCTGTGAAGTCAGGTGCCTCAGAGGTTCCTGCTTCCAGGGGATGGCTCCTGTCTTGACCTGGAGGACTGTGTCCTGCTGAACTGTGTTCTTGAGGTCGAACATTTCAATTTCATGCACTTGGGGGCATGTTTGTTGCATTTCACATGTGTAAATATACATAAGAACAACATCAGGACTGTATACCGTTACAAAGCTCGCAGGCTGGAGAGATGCCTCTGTGGCTAAGAGCACTGGCTGCTCTTCCAGAGGACCCAGGTTCAATTCCTAGCACCCACATGGAAGCTCACAACTTTCTATACCTGCAGCCCATGATCTACTGGCCCTGGTAGGCATGGGCCTTAAGGAAGGTGGCCCTTCACAGGGGAAGCACCATGCCACCACGTCACCAGCAAGCAAAATACCACAGCCCCACCATCCCTTTCCTTTTAAGACAGGATCTCTCAGGATAGGCCATATTAGGCTCAAACTTGCAATCCTCCTGACTCAGTCTCCCGGACACTGAGATTATAGGCATGTACCTCTACTGCTCCCACCCAGGTCTCCTTCCTGGGCCATGCCCCCAGGACCTAAAGACCTTGTATTAGACCCTACTCCTCAAGACTCCTCTACAACCCAGTCACACTGCCCTGGGACCTCACCTTCATCGCAGACCTCTGAGAGCCACTCCAGACCCAAAGTGTAGCACTAGGAATAAAGGTAACTGCATAACAATGTAAACCACACAGAAAACTTGCAAGTGTGACCGAATGAACTCCTGGTTATCTTGTGTGTGGCTTCCCAGTCATTAACCTTTGCTAAATTGCAATGAGTGCTTGCGTGTGTGTATAAGTGTTTGTGTGTACTTGGAAACAGTTATAGATCTAACCTTTTGTCCCTAAACATACATTGTA